CCTAATATTAAGGATTGTTTATATATATATAATAATTTTTTTTATAATTTAATATAATTCAAATAATAAAACATGATACTTGTGAAAGGATTTACGTTTTTATTAATGTAATAACCTATTTATAATGCATTTATAATCGCTTGATTCAACTTTAATAATCATAGTTTAACTTTTTGTATTTCAAATATAAATTTTAAATAAAAATTTAACAACTTATATAAATAAATCAATTTCTCAATGATCAATGATGCGAAGTAACCATTCAGAGTATTTCAATCCACAAGTTTCACCTGTTTGCAATTTTGGTCCTCTAATCTTTATTTGTTTCATTTGGGTCCCTACAAGATAGAACCTGCATTTTAAACTTTTTCAAATGAGTACAAAACGACGACAGCTTCAAATTAATCTCGATTAATCTTGGTTTTTCTTTGAAACATTTTTCGCGTTAATTTCCACATCACATTGAAGCTCAAATATTTTAAAAATTTTCATTTAAAACTTAAGAATTTGTGAGAAATTAATATTTAAAAAAAAAAAAGACTTTTCTCTTTCTCTCTCTCTCTCTTTTTTTTTTTTTTTTCATTTGGGTCCCTACAAGATAGAACCTGCATTTTAAATTTTTTCAATGAGTACAAAACGACGACAGCTTCAAATTATTGTCGATTAATCTTGGTTTTTCTTTAAAACATTTTTCGCGTTAATTTCCACATCACATTGAAGCTCAAATATTTTAAAATTTTTCATTTAAAACTTAAGAATTTGTGAGAAATTAATATTTTTTTATTAAAAAAAAGATTTTTCTCTTTTTCTCTCTCTCTCTCCTTTTTTTTTTTTTTTGAGAAATATCAAAATGGACTTGGCAAATTGAGTTATGATAGTTTTATCAACTGTTTAATTAAAACATCTCATGTGGAATTGGTGTGAAAAATAAAGTTTAATTTCATAATTTTTCATATAAATTAAAGGGAAAATGTATAATAAATACACATTTAACTTGTTCTTTTCAAAAAAAAATCATTAAAAATAGAGTGTTTTTAACTTGTATTTTGAAGATATAGATTAAGGATATAGTCATTATATTTTTTAGTGTTAAATTATATAAAAACTACAAAAGTAGATTTAATTTTACTACCACTACTATATACTCTCTCAATTAATTTTTAGTAGACTTAATTTGACTTTTGGATTTTTAAAAGATAAATTTTAGGTAAAATTTTAATAATTTATATGAATAATAATTGAAAATTTATCTTTATTAAATAAAAATACTTAATAAGAACTATACATAGGGATAAAAAAATTTTCAATTGTTAGTCATATATATTATTAAATTTTAATCCAAAATTTATGTTTTAAAAATCAAAAAGCCAAATTAAGTCCATTAAAAATAAATGGAAAGAGTAGATTATTTTAATTAGATACTGTAGTTGAGTAA